GGTCACCGCGCGCCAATTTCGAGCCCGCTCGGAAAATCGCGATGCGGGTCGGGTAAACGTTATCGCACAGGGCTCAAACTTTGCACAGGGTCTCTGCTAGGTCTAATCTATTATTAAATGTGCGTACCTCCGAAATCGCCGACTTCGACTACCAAAATGAGATGACCTAGCCCGCCCCCACCAACGCTCTCCGTACCCGTTTTTGTTCTTGTTAGTTCCGGCCAGCGCCCCATTGAAATACTCTATTCTGAAAAATTACACTATTTCAACGTTAAAATGGCTTTGAAAGGTAGAGGCACCATCCACAAAGCTGCTGATAATATAGCATTCCGGTATAGCTGAAATGCTGAAGAATGCGGGGAAGAAGAAAACGGAAGTCACCCTAGCGATTTCCGTTTTCTCCTTCCCCGCATTCTTCTGCATTTCAGCTTTACCGGAATGCTTCATTGACTAAGCGATAGCGAAGCATATTACTCCAGTGACGATCAAAAAGTTTCGTGTCTGTTTGTAATCACGATAACTCGAGAACGGTTTGTGCTAGGTACCTGGGATTTTTAGTTCAGCTTTGTAAAAAAAGCAAGAACTATACTGATTTTGAGCCCCCTAGCTTAAAAATTGACCCCTCAAAAAATCAAACAAAAAACCCAAAATATTACTTTTCATCCGATGGTCGCTACAGCAATCCGGGGCTCGGCTAGACCGGAAGGAGAAGAACAAAAATCGTCGGGCCGGTCGGGCGCGGGGAGGAGCGGGGCAGGGTGGGGGCTGTACCCCGCTCCTCCCCGCGCCCGACCGGCCCGACGATTTTTGTTCTTCTCTTTCCGGTCTAGTCGAGCCCCGGAGTACCCTGTAGACCATTCCCCTGAGCCGAAAAAGAAGGAGAGAAGGAAGAAGCAAAGTTGTCGTTTAAGGCTGATAGGGCCGATTTGTGAGTTTGTTGAGATTTGTTGTCTTAATAATATCACATTTGCTCTTTTAAATAATTTTGAATATGTAAGAGTTGTAAAATGCTGTGTTAGAAGGTCCATTAAGTCCAAAAAAATATATTTGCTTCTTCCTTCTATTCTTCTTTTTTCGGCTAGGCGGAATGGTCTATCCCGTAGGGCCACAATATTGTCCGTTTGGCTCTATCCCTAACCGTTTAGTTGCCAGAGGGCGATATCTACACGAAAATGACCCCAACTCATATAAATGTTGTTTCTCAGATATTTGATGGTCTCTGGTAGGGCAACTTGCCCGCGTGGAAATGTATGGTTGCTTTACGTTAACTGGATATTTTGTTACCAAGTTGCTGAGGAGACAACGAACGACTGGAGAGGAACTAGGGGAATAATGGTCGGATAGCGCAGCCTGCTCACTAAATACGTCTTCGGGACAAATGCAAAGCCCGCCCGTCGCCCCTGTTCCTCTCCAGTCGCGTGCGCGCGGGCGAGATGCGGCCGCAGCATCTGATAGCACCGCGCGACTCACTGATGATCTGACAAAGGGACGCAAGTCCATCACGCTGAATTTTCCAGGACGAGGAAAAAAC